TATATATTTTTTAAAATAACTGCCATGAAAATATACCACTGTCATGTTTTATCATGAAGTTTAAATTATTTCGTAGTAAACCATATTTAAAATTGTGCTTAGTGATTCTGTGACATTTTTACCTCTATGAAATAGACTACACTGAAAGGAATTAAAAGTCATTCCAATTATTTTGAAATAATATATCCCCCTATAATTGTGATTTGTTAATTAAAACTCACATAGCATTTAATTCTCATTAAGTGGCACTGTATTCTGTAAAATTGCCATGAACACTGAATTAACAAATACTGAACCATTCCTCCCAGAGGAAATAATACGATTAGGTTCCTGTGAGCCTCTGGTCACAATATTTTTATTATCCTATTAATACATAACCTTGTTTTACATGTGTTTCTGCTTAAAGCCACCTTGTTTAGTATATAGTATTGATTCATTGACATTGAACTCATGGCCAGCAGCATTGTAACTCATGCCTAAATGAAACTTACCTAACACTCATATTTTCTTCATAAGGCACATCACAACTATCTTGCACTTAAGGAACACTAGACAGCACTCCAGCACTATGCTCAGGGGCCATTCTAAATAGCAAAATCACCAACAAAATGCACAAAAATACAAAATACGTGGCACTAAATAGACCATGTTTATAGTACTTGTTTATAGTATGAGAGCTGAAACAAGAAGACAGAGTGTCACCTTGTTTGCCCTCAGCTATGGACGTGCATATTGGTTGACTCAGCGTTCTTGCTGTTCTGCACACATCCACGAATGACCACAAAAGCATCATAAGCATTGACTTTGGAATTACAAATAAATTTTAGTGAGCAGGCAAATTAGTAGATATTGAATCCTCTGCTGTGGAATCACGAAATTCTGTTATTATAACTAGGAAACTCTAGTTTGCTTGGAACACCTTCTGCATGTCATCAGGATCACATTGTGTGTAAGTGTAGGAGAATGCCTGTAATGCTTGTTTGCAGTTATTAACTCATTGACTGCCACACTAGAAAAAAATTTTTTTCCCTGGGGCCACAGTGTTTGTTT